ACCCATGCCGCTATGAAAGCACACACGTCACAATACTCTGCAGCTCTATAGTGATCCCGAACCAATAAAACTATTACATTTAAAATAGCACTAACTCCTAAACTATCTCATAATAGCCGAGTGCATTTGATTCCATATCGATAATAAAACAAGTACTGGTTTTCTTCAGTCCAATTCCACCCCAAACCCTTTGCTCTAAAGTACATTATGCCTGAACTAATTTAACTGAATTGAGACGTTCCGTTCCGTGAACGAAAGATATCTTTAGAGGTAACCAAATGAAAAGCTATTGATTTTCACAGACTTAGCTCGTTAAATTACATAACTTAGACAAATTTTGTAGACGTGTGTAAATTTCAAAACTATTACGCACCGCCGTCTCCAATGTTTTCAGAAATGTTCGTTTTGTTTTTGTTGTGTTCCCTTTTATTGTTTAAACTTTAAAAATGACACAACAATTTTCCGTTTATGGAATGCACTAACTACCCATAAGCATCAAACAATCGACCTCGCCGGAAATTTTCAAGTTCAAATTAAAATCGCACTACCTTGCACAATAATATGGCTTCTACGATATAACTGTACAAGTTGCTACTTATTTTGTATTTACCTGCATATTTTTAGTATTTATTTGTATTTAATCGTATGTAAGTCTATCTTATATTGTATTTATTTTTCACATGTGTATTTATGTATATATTTTTATGTAAGTTTATTATGATATAGCACCGTCCAGTTCATTTATTCCTCTCCCTGCAAAGTTGCCTGGAAGAGATTTTCAGCGATAAGGCCGCCAATTTATGTCACCGACTATTGTTTGTTTTATTTGTTCACTCTGTACATATGGTGTTAAATAAAGTGTTATTATTAATGACAGAATATGAAGCAGCATATTTCTATGGATGTAGGAATTGGGATACAGCTTGGAGCAACAGACGTGTAAGTAATATAATTTCTTTTTTAGTAACGTCTGGGCGTATCTTGATTCCGCGTCGGTAGGTACAGTAGTACAGGAGACGAATGCTTGGTATTTCATGAACCGAACTTCGCACCAATATCTCCATTGTTTAAGAAATCTGCATTACGCAGCATCTGTCGGCGTACATGCATGAGCGCATCTCTTATTACTGGTAGTAGGACCTCTTGTGAGTCTGCGCGGTTTCTGCCGTGAGGCAGCAATGCGTTTCGATTTGAAGGGTAGGGCAGCCGTTGTAACTATACTTGAGACCTTAGAATTTATATCTCAAGTTGGGTGGCGCATTTACGTTGTAGATGTCTATGGGCTCCAGTAACCACTTAACACCAGGTGGACTGTGAGCTCGTCCAAACATATATGCAACAAAAAAAGGCGAGGAAATGACTCCATAGAGCGTCTTGTCGTCCAGGGCAAATTAGTAGGCACCAGACCAAGTGAAAGGCTGCCCATGCGACCAACCGACCAAGTCAAGTCGGCAGTTGGCGGTTGTTTACATGAGTGTACCAGGCTCACCACAAATCGGGAAAAGTGGCGATTGCTCGTGAGGCGCCTAGCATCTGCCCGAAGCAATAATACTGAATGGCGAGCACGACCGCTCTGACAAGGGTGACACGACCAAAGAAAAGCTACAGTCCTGCGCTAAGCAGTCCTATTACCCTTCTTCAATTCGAGTTCGAAGTGTAGCGCAGCTCTTCTGTAATCGAAACTACGACTCCCTAGTGATAAAGCAGTGGAATCTACGTCGTGTGTCTGATTTCCGAGAACTACCGACTAAACCTTCAAAAAATCCCTAATGATACCTTTCGAAATCCTGGTAATGGTTCCTCACAAAAGATGTTTTAGGACGGTCAGGAGAGGGCTATCCTTGGTATTTCTCTAAGAGACTGAATCAGAGTAGAGGAAATCCGTACCAAAGTTGCTGACATAGCCCGTGGGATTAGCAAGCTGAAGTGGCAGTGGGCAGGCCAGATAGCGCGAAGATCGGCCGACGGTGCAGAAAGGTTCATAAGCGGAGACCAGGTACTGGTAAATGCAGTATAGGACAGTCACCTACCAGATGGATCGACGTTTTATTGGAAATCGCTGGGGCACGTCGGATGCTGGACCCGCTGCACTGGAGACCGATTGGAGAGGCCTAAGTTCAGTGGGGCACAGCTATAGGCTAAGATGAGACGAGAATCCCCGTACGTGGTTGCAGAGTGCCTTGTTAATGTGCGATGTGAAAAGTAATTAAATAGTGTAAGGTTTGTTGTAAAATAATTAAATCAAATTTAACATGTTAAGGTTATGGCAATTTTCGGATTGCCAAATAGCAACACTGTTGGTGGGAGCAATGGCAGTAGTGGGGACGTGACATAATAAAAAAGGCGGTAGTCTGAAAAAATGGGACAGAAAGCGGTGTATTCAGTAGTGAGCAGATATCTAAAGATTGTACAAGTGGAGTTATAATTAAAGCTTTTTTTTCTTTTTTTTCCTACTTATAGCCTTGAGAGGCTATTTCAGCCTCGCCCTAACGTGTGTAGGTGAGCTCACGGGGCTCAAACCGGAGTGTTGCTAAAACTGACCCTAGCAAGAGCAGTGCTTCGCAGAATCTACCACCGAATCGGAAACGCGACCCATTGAGAAGATCCGGCGAGAAACTCAGTGGGCTATGTCTATGGGTTAATTTGCTCGTCGAGCCCTTCATCGCAAGCGACGGGTTCGACGAGGACGGTGACCGGTGCTTATGGCACCACTGTTAATGGTTAATGGATCAGAAGGATCCGTAATGACATGTTAAAGCAATACAGAATTAAGTGAACTACTGCAATCTGTGTATTATTTCCTGACTGTTGGAAGCGGAGTTCTCCAATAGTAAAATAGTATTTCTTTTCTTCAGCGTTCTACATCAGTAAGCCCCAGGAAAATTAACAATTCAGCCGTACAAAACATTCCACGAAGCCAATCTGACACAATTACATTATTACGCTTTCTAGCTCACGTATTCACAGTCGTTTCTCTAACAAAACGGGTTAAAAGGTTTCTAAAAAGATTTTCATTATTCCCCTTACGGATGCTCAACAAATCGTAAGCGGAGACGTGTAATATGAAACTCAATTAGAATTCTAAAGTTTAACCCGTCCATCCCTTCCATTTTAATTACATTTTAATTGGCGAATGTTTAGGAACGCTTGTAACTTGACATACGTAATGGAGTGGAGACATAGCTCGCATGGGAGTATTTGTATTTCCTTTGTATGTTCCTTAAAGAAAAATATCAACCACTTCATATTTCAACAATTGGCCCCACTATTTTAAAAGGTGGTAGGATCTCTTGTGAGTACGCGCGGGTAGGTACCACCACCCTGCTGTGAAGCAGTAATGCGTTTCAGTTTGAAGGGTGGGGCAGCCGTTGTAACTATACTGAAACCTTAGAAGTTATATCTCAAGGTGGGTGGCGCATTTCCGTGGCAGATGTCTATGGGCTCCAGTAATCACTTAACCAGGTGGGCTGTGAGCTCGTCAACCCATCTAAGAAAAAGAAAAAAATGTATAATTGGCCTCCATTTTTAGTGACTTTGCTTTTGCTGCTTAATGGTTTAAATTTAATTTCTTCTTTTTTTTTATATTCCCTACCTATTCACTGGTGTAAAGGGTTATTCCAGCTACGTCCGGACACGTAGTACTGTAGGGCTCACTGCTCATTATTTTAATTATACACACGATTAAATAACTTAAACAATGAGAGATTACAATAATAGTTAGTGATAGTGATTTAGAGCCAATCGGTTTGTGTATCACTAGGTACCACATGCGACCGCCATTACAAACACAACTCTATCCGGTGTTACCAGCTCTTAATTAAAATTACCTACTTAGTCGAATACAAAACGATTAATAACAATAAAGATAACTTAAGAACGATTAAAAAAATATAATAATAAATTATAACTCTGAAATGAACTGATTTTCATTATTTCACAATTTCACGTGCCTTTAGGTCTGAAAATTAATCATTAATAAAGTATGTGATAATCAAACCACAACTGCTAAGTTCGGAAACTTCCAATAATTACACACCTAAAAGCACAAATTTAATCAGAGCATATTTGTATTTCGGCACGGAGCTTTCAAAGCACTACGTAGGTGCACTCCGGAAAGCTGAGTCGCTTTTAATAAGCTCCAATTACAGGGTATTAGGAGAATAGGGGAGGCAATTCAGTTTGCCAACGATAATAATGGTTAGCTCCGTACTGTAATGTAAGCGATTAGCTATAAAGAATTCGCTGACATTTTCAGATAATGATGTGCTAATTTATTGCTACAAAAAAGTTGTGGGTCTGAGAATGATTCGCGGTATAGGTTATAGTAAATAGGATTTGATTTTCATTGATTTTTTAACGTTAAAGGGAAGATCTTTCTCCGAGCGGGTGATATTTCTCGATAGACCGACGGTCCGTATGTTGTTGTTCGGAACTTGTGTACTGGGTGTTAGGAGACCACATCCGAAAAAGAAAATGTTGTACCTACAAAGTTGTAAATTTTGGGGAGCGCGGTATCAGCGCCGCACCGCCGCATCGGTTTGCGTGTAAAAGAAACGCCGCGCCCGGGCGTTCGTTGACCCGAGCATCAGCTGTTTTTGATTTTGTGTTTCATTGCTGGTTTTTTTTTAAATAGAGTAATGTATTTTTTATAAAACTCTCGTTTCATTTAGCTGTACTAACATTTTGGAGCGTAAATAATGCGAATAAAACGTTTTAAAAATATGTTGTTTTTTTTAAATCAGGATCGATTTCTTTTCCGGCCCATCATCAAGGTTACTGTTGTCATTAGTACTATCGTCTGTCTTCGTTTTCGGAAGCGGTTTCCTAATACCCAGTACATGTAGGCTTATCTTAAAAATGTCGTAAGCAAGATTCAGGCATCTGTCGAATAGCTTGTGTTCTGTGATGCCAACCCGTCACAATTTCTTTAAAAATAATTATTGGAAAAACATTAGCTTAGACTTTTTCTGCATACCTAATTATGAAATAGTTAATCTTACCTTAATTCCTTTAATGTGGTTCAGATATCTGTGAACAGAAAGAACATCAATGTATGACTTTATAATCAATAATACGAGAACATATTAAATTGGTTTCATAAATTTCACTTCTTCTATATGACCAGCAGTGGACATCCTCAAACTCATAATGAATAATAATGGAAGCATGAAATACTGTGACGATACAATGACGGGACGGGATTCTAAAATTCGTTTCCATTAGAATTTTTAACTTAAAATATACGATACGAATTGAGAGCCATCTTATTTTAGTCGATTATAAATATATATGTAGGAGTGGTAAGAATCGAACGTATGAAAAGAGTTAGAGTGAGTGAAAGAAAACTGTAAGAAAGGGAAAAGAGAATGACAGAGAAAAGCAAGATGGCGAAGACAATTGGAATGAGCCAGGCGTAAAAAAGCTGTCAGTTAATTTTTAATTATATTATTAAGGAAGATTTTGGAAGAGAACAATTAAACTGTAACAGTGGAATAGTTTTATATTATGTACCACAATCTCAATTCTACTATAGGGGTTACATTAAATATCTTGCACTAAAACAATACCCTAATGAAAGCAGAAATTATTAGAAGGACTCCTCCGTCTTAAGTTCTGTGAGTTCAACGCTATAAATATTTACTTAATACGACAAATATAGGAAGTATTTTGAAACTTAAATTACACATTTACATTCACAATTTAGTGTAGTTTGTATTTTGATACTGACTATCATTGAAGTGAAACTTCTTTAGGCGCGTCGAGTGTAATTTTAACTCGCGATAGATTTGTTACGGCTAGAGAGAAAAGATACAAGTTAGGAAGAGCGAGAGTGAGAAAATAGACAGAGCGTCTCGCGAACCACTCGACCGTGGAGAGACGGACAATGCGGGCTAGGTTATTTCTCTTATACACAGCATTTCCTATTACAAGAGAAATTAGATTTAAGAATGAAAAATGAAGAAAACTACAATACTATACACCGCAAAAGAAGTTTCACTTCTTTTACTTGCATCAAGTTGCATGCGAACCATTATTTAGCGAACGGCACACTAGGTTGCCTTCAATCTAATGCTTACTAACTAAAAGAGCAGACGGATACGATTGCGCGGAAGTACGCTTAAACAGGACTAATGGCAGAAGTGTTCATTTATTTCAAGCTTGCGTCAACTTCTCAATCTATATATTAATAGGTGAAGCAAAAACTTTGTATCTCTTTTTACGAAAATTGCGTGGACGGAGGAGTATGAAATTTTCCACACATAGAGAGAATATAGAGAAGAAGTGCACAATGCTAATATTTTTTTTAAATAATGCATAAAAGATACATTAAATCAATAAAGAAAACATTACACACACTGCATACCATGTATTTGACGCACACACGTATTGCATACTATTTTATTGTCAAACTTTTGTTCTTGACGTCTGTTGTCAAGTTGAAAATAGATTAAATATTTTTTGTCTTTGTTAATATGTTTTATAGTGTAGTTTTGGCGAAATTAGTGATTATAGAAGTATAAAATACAATCATAATAGTGTACAAACTTACAATTCCAATTAATTATAGTCGAATTTCGACTACTGCGGGACCTCTAGTTACGTTGAAATAACAGCTATTCCGTTCTCAAGACCACAACGCAGGATTTCTCCGCAGCAGATATATGCAATACTAAATAGTCATGGTTACCACCAGAAATTACGCACTGGAGGTAACGGAAGTATCTCTAAGAATGCTCTGAAAGGACCACACTTGAAATATACACCACAAACACAGGAAACTGGAATATCTTCAAAGACTCAGAGGTTTTTGGCGGTCCAAAAAAACGGAAACTATAACAATTCAGGTGCTGGAAAGAAGATTTTTTGTTCTGAACAGCATCAACAACATTTCTAAGCGTTTTCCAATTAGGTCCTGTCAAATAAAGAGCATAATGTAACGGAGCTTGGCTTCCCAACGACCTGTTGAAAATCACGGGAATCCGCTGGATGCAGGCGAAACAATACCACTTAGTTGACCTTGAAAGGACCTTGAGGTGGCTTATGGCCTATGACCAACATTGGCCGTGTGTAGGGCTATAATAAGAGTAGCAAAGCATGAGCTGCTACGTCGATAATTATGATTGCTTCACTAAAGATTTTGGAACGAAGTTCCTTATGGGACGATGCGTAGGGGTACGCTAACCGGAAAAAAGCGTCCGTAACGTAAGATTTTTATTAGTAATGCACACAGTGTACGACTTAACTTTGTAATGACGTACAAAAAATAACATATTTTTTTATCATTCATTGACCACGATCTCAGAGCGCTCGTTTGCGCAATACACTAACTCTTATGCAAACAACCGTGAATGAAGTGTACCACAATAAGTTCGCACGCTACCGAATGACCGTGGGTTGTTGCGAAACCTCCAGTTCTATTTTCTTCATACCTCGAATAGAACTTTAAAATTAATAATTTTATAATAAGGAACTTCGTTGCTATCCGGTGTGCTATCCACGTTGCTATCCACGACACCACACATTTTTTTTTTGTTTTTTTTTTTAATAAACAAAAGATACAGGTTAATACGTTATCAGATCAGCACTCAGCTCGTTTTCTTTGACGACTCGTCGCGGCTTTTGTTCCGTCAACGGGACTCGTCGACGTTCATTTCGCTCAATACGCCGTTCTACAGCTCTCATAGAAGTCCCTTACAAAAGAAACGCTTAAGAAAAAAACATCTTTTAGAGGGAAAAAAGAAAAGGAGCAAACGAAAAACACGAAAATACAAATAGGGATGGGAAAGAGACTATATTGAGTCATCGTTTATCAACTGTGAGTCATTGAGTGTTTTACATATTATTGGGTTGATTGGATTGATCTTTTTTTTCTCCTTTCGGGCCGGGGGCCGAACCTCCTACGAGGTCCCCGCGCCTAGGGGGCGCGCGGGGTATGTGAGACTCAACGATCTGCAGGTGTTGAGAGCAGATCGCGGGCCCAAGGATTTTAGGGCCCACTCACTAAACGACTCCCCTGCACTCTTACACCCGACGTCCGATCTCCGTCCGGGGTCAGAACCCGATCAGAGTAGGGGGGTTCCCGCGGTCAACACTACAACAAGACACGCGGCGCCAGCCCGAGGACGCCCGACCGACGGGTCGTCGAGGCGATAGTCGACGACCAACGACGTCGGTCTCCGCGGTACGGCGGCCCTACAAGGCCGCCCCGGCGGTGCCGCTGGTGTTCCGGGATACCCCGCTGGGCCAGAACCAGCCTGCCGGGTCGGAACGCGATACACCGCCGACCGGGTTGCTCTTCAACAGTATGTTCGACGACGACAGCGACGACGAAAATGCTGACTGCATCGCAGTCCGCAGCCGCCGATACGCCGTCCCGTCCTCCTGGTGCCAGCGCGCTAGAGTGACGGTAGCGTGCGGCGCAGCCTCAACCCCCTTAGGTCGCCCCGTGACCATCACCGGATAATTGGAGTTCATAGACGTCACAAATGCGATTTTTTTCTTTTTTTATTAATATAATGTACCAAAACACACGATAATACTAGAATTACAATATAGCTCAATAAGGCCAATAAGTAATTATTATTTTTAGGTAAACTACTATTTTAACTAATGTATCTAAGAATAAAGTCTACTGACCTTACTTAATGACGATTGAGTGTAAGCACTTTGTTCGTGTGTCTATAGTTACGTCACTATCATTTTAATATTATTTCGAAAAATGAAAAACACTACACTAACTAAAAAGGATTCGTCCTCTTGACTATTCTTACTAAGCCTCTGTTGACGAGGAGTTGAGTAGCCTCCACATTCACATGCTAGTGAAGTTCGTGCGAATTCATGTGAGTCCATGAGGTATGATTTTTTATTTTTATTGCTTAGGTTAGTGGACGAGCTCACGGCTCACCTGGTTACCGGAGCCCATAGACATCTACAACGTAAATGCCACCACCTACCTTGAGAGTTCTAAGCTATCAGTTGAGATATAAGTTCTAAAGTCTCAAGTATAGTTACAACGGCTGCCCAAACCTTCAAACCGAAACGCATTACTGCTTCACGGCAGAAATAGGCAAGGTGATGGTTCCCACCAGCGCGCACTCACAAGAGGTCCTACCACCAGTATTATGTAAAGATTATTAAATGACATTTTCAATTTATATCAGACTAGTATGTTAATCCCGTTTCTGCCTCTAATCAAAACAAACGGAAAGCTTTCAAAAGCGTTCATAAACGGAAAGCGGAAAGCGTTTTTACTGGTGGTAGGACCTCTTGTAGGTCCGCGCGAGTAGGTACCACCGCCCTGCCTATTTTTGCCGTGAAGCAGTAATGCGTTTCGGTTTGAAGGGTGGGGCAGCCGTTGTAACTATACTGAGATCTTAGAACATATATCTCAAGGTGGGTGGCGCATTTACGTTGTAAGATGTCCATGGGCTCCAGTAACCACTTAACATCAGGTGGGCTGTAAGCTCGTCCAACCATATAAGCAATAAAAAAAAAGAGAAAACACAATAAAAGTTTTAATTTATTTAGTGAGTCGACATGAATATTATCGTGCCTGTCCCAACACTAGCAGCCGGCTGTTTGCTTCCTGTAAACGAAGGCGGAAAATACGATGTTCCTTTCGAGTTTTTACATGTTCGCACTTTTACTGTCGTTAGTTTTGTTACATCGGCGAGTTTGAGAAGTGCCCTTACCGAAGGAGCCGAATCTTCGAGCGTCAATTTATATGAAGTTACATTATTATTGTATTAGGAGAAAAGTTTTCTTAATTCTTTATATAGATATTTCGTTTAGATATTGACTAAAATGACTCCATTCACGAGGTGATATCATTGAAACCGCCTAATTTACTGTAATCAGGTCATAAGTTCGTCTACACATTTACAGTAACTAGTAGTCCCACGGTAGTGGAAATTCGACTGTAATTAATTGAAATTATAAGTTTGTACACTACTAGCTGTTCCCGTCCGCTTCGCTGGGCATTTAAAATTAACATTATTATTTCTCACCCCCATAAATATTCTCATCAT